TCGAGTGATAAAATTCGAATAATTATATTCGAGTGATAAAATTCGAATAATTATATTCGAGTGATCATATTCGAGTGATCATATTCAAATGATCATATTCGAGTGATCAAATTCGAATGATCATATTCGAGTGATCAAATTAGAATGATCATATTCGAGTGGTCATATTCGGGTGATCAAATACGAATAATCATATTCGAGTGATCATATTCGAGTAATCAATTTCGAGTGATCAAATTCGAGTGATCATATTCGAGTGAACAAATTCGAATCATCCTATTGGTGTAATCGTATTCAAGTGATCAATTTCGAGTGATCAAATTCGAATGATAATATTCGAGTGATAAAATTCAAATGATCATATTCGAGTGATCAAATTCAAATGATCATGTTCCAGTAATCAACTTTGAATGATCATATTCGAGTGATCAAATTCGAATGATCATATTCGAGTAATCAAATTCGAGTAATCAAATTCGAATGACCAAATTCGAGTAATAAAATTCGAATGGCCAAATTCGAGTGATCAAATTCGAATGATCAATTTCGAGTGATAAAATTCGACCAAAAATCTCATTGGTATCCGCATCGTTCGAAACAGATGACGAATCAGTAAATCTAATCCTCGACTTCAATTTCTACGTCAAAATTCTGCACTTCGACGGTACACAGTCGCCGTATTCAACAATCTAACAATCTCATTACTTCGTTCCTTTCACGAATAAATTCGCAACGTACTTAATCGCGATCAATCACGTCCCCGCGCTACCAATATCCAACCCCCTCTGTACTCGAATAGTTTAAAAGCGTGTTACGATCAACAACACGATCTGCCGATGCACGCGAATTGAGATCCATAAATCGACTCGAATAAATCGACTCGAATAAATCAACTCGAAACGAAGAATTTCGTGCCGGATTCGTGGATAAATAACAGAAGGCGTAAACAACGGACGAAATAAAGGACGCAGAAGGTATAAACAACGGAAGAAGTAAACAACAGAAGAAAGAGCGAACAACAGTTTCGAGGATGCGAAACGAGAGCGTTGCGAAATTTTGCCGAGTCTATTTGTTTATTGTACTTCGCACGACGGCTCCTCGGCCGTGCGCTCCGCGACTGGCAGTTTAACAGCAACGAAAACAAATGTTTGCTATTGTCCCGCGTGCACGGGGCCGGCAACGCGCGCCAGTTTGTCAGTGGGGTGACAATGTGTATACGTGTCTCTGTCGATAACTTTAGAACGCTACGTAGTTACGGGTAGAACGCGTTTAAACTCATCCCCTCTCGTACATCCTATCGGGTTGAATCGCGAATCGACGAAGAAAAGCGTCCTCGAAAACGACGAAATAATCTACAAAGTGAACCCTCCGGCGGGCCACCCCGTCACCCCGCTGTTCGCCGTTCTCGTTCCGAGGATCGATCGGTTCGCGATCGCTTTTCCGCGGACTCGATCGTAGGAGCCGTCGAGGGTTCCGATTAAAAATAACAGTTTCCTCTAAAGTCTCACCCTACGGAGAGCTCACCCTCGGGGCAGCTCACGAATCAGCGTACAAAATCCTTAACGAAATGATTTTCGGCTTGTTATTCGATTAAACGCTCCTCGATTCAACAGTTTCATCGTTTCACGTTTGCCCTAAGTGTCCTCGTCTTTCTCTTCTTTTCACGCTGCTTCCGTTCTTTTCATCTTCTTCTTCTTTTTCTTCTTCTTCTTCTTCTTCTTCTTCTTCTTCTTCTTCTTCTTCTTCTTCTTCTTTTTTGGTACGTTAAGCTCGTGACCATTTTGCGAGTGGTCGTCAACGAAGCTTGGTCAGAGCTTTCCGGCGCTTATGGTAGTGTCGTCGACTTCGCGTCGGCACTCGTCTTCCCTTCGACGACGGTAATCGGTTTCCGATTCTTCCGTTTCGTTTTCGTTTTTTATTTCTATCTATCTTTCTTTCTTTTTTTTTCTTTCTTTCTTTCTCTCTTTCTTTCTTTCTTTCTTTCTTTCTTTCTTTCTTTCTTTCTTTCTTTCTTTCGTTCGTTCGTTCGTTTTAGCTCCGTGGAAATCTGTTCATTGGTCATGCCGATTTATCCTTTTGATTAGATTTGCAAGCTTGGCAGTGCCTATATAATAATGTATATAATTAATTATCGGGACCGCGGCGGCGGACGACGTTCGCGCGAATGTTCTTTCGTGGCGGTTTTTTATTTTTTACCGGGTTTGTAACATCTGATTTCGATTTCACGGGTTCGAATTTAGCCGCGACCGTTTCGTGTTCTTGGAACGGGCAAACGGATAGACACTTCGACGTTGAAGAGAGTTGAAACTTTCGTAATCAGCACTGGGCATCTTGAAAATTAACCTTGGCGTAATTCTTTGGAAACAGTGCTGTATAATACTCATTTTTGCAAGTTGTGAATTGGATTTTATTTAGCCACATATATGTTGGTCTCGCATTTATTTGCATTTATATATTTTTTGCATTTATATAGCAATACGCTATACTGCAACACGCAAATAAATGCGAGACCAATAAATTTGAAATTAATAAATTCATTAATAAGGAAAATTCTATAATTTCCGAGAAACGGAAATTATATATAACTTCTCAGAAATTATTACAGAATTTTCCTTATTAACGAATTTACTGATTTCAAATTGATTGATCTCGCATTTATTTGCATTTATATATTTTTTGCATTTATATCGCATTGCTATATATATAGCAGTACGTTATAATGCAACACGAAAATAAATGCGAGATTTGAGAAACGGAAATTATATATAACTTCTCAGAAATTATTACAGAATTTTCCTTATTAACGAATTTACTGATTTCAAATTGATTGATCTCGCATTTATTTGCATTTATATATTTTTTGCATTTATATCGCATTGCTATATATATAGCAGTACGTTATAATGCAACACGAAAATAAATGCGAGATTTCAATAAATTTGAAATCAATAAATTCATTAATAAGGAAAATTCTATAATAATTTCGGAGAAACGGAAATTATATATAACTTCTCAGAAATTATTACAGAATTTTCCTTATTAACGAATTTACTGATTTCAAATTGATTGATCTCGCATTTATTTGCATTTATATATTTTTTGCATTTATATCGCATTGCTATATATATAAAGCAATAAATTTGAAATCAATAAATTCATTAATAAGGAAAATTCTATAATAATTTCGGAGAAACGGAAATTATATATAATTTCTCGGAAATTATTACAGAATTCTCCTTATTAACGAATTTACTGATTTAAAATTGATTGATCTCGCATTTATTTACCTATCGAGCCAAGCAGATCCGAAAGAATATCGCCGCGTTTCAGGATCTGTATAAAAGATATTAAAATATCGATGTTAAACGGATGCGACTTCAACCTTGCGTAGGTGGTAATTGATAACGGTACTTTGTAACAGCATCGTATTGAAATTAATCACGGCTAGCTGGATAGCTAGATAATACCTCTGAAATGCTGGGTCGAAATGGATGCGGGTTCAGTCATCCAATCTTGATCCAGCGAATTAATCAATCCCCATAAAACGTGCAGAACCTTTATCTTGCCCTTTACTAAAACATCTGTAATCCGGACAGCGTATGTGGACATTTTTACCGATTACCAGATCGCGGATTTTTATGCAAAATAACGATTGTCCGCGTTAATTACACCATACACGAGCTGTACAGACATTGAATTTCGTTCTTAACGATTTTAATCGACCGAAAATAATGTAAAAGTATTTTGAGAGATTCTTTAAATATTTGTAATATCTTGCATCTGGTCTCCCCGTTCTCGTCGCGGATGCATAAAATCCGCGGTCTATCGATTACACGCTTCAAGGTTATTGAAACAATTGCAAGATTGTGCACGCATTAAGGCCTTTTGTATCAATTATTGTCTTACGATTATGTCACAAAGCGAGGACCGTCTCGAATGAGTCTAAAACTTATGGTACACGCGAAAAATCTTCGAACCTGTTCAAAAACACGTATATGTACACCCTCCTCCAAAAGTATCGAGATACTCGCAGAAGACTAAATAAATTTGTGAAACCAATAGGAAATTGTTATAATCATTGTTATAATTTCTCCGATTTATTTCAAACTTAATTGTATGAAATTATAATGAAAATGTATGTAAAATATATATATAAAATATATAAAGATATATATATATATATAATTATAATAAAAATAAAGTCAATCTCATGAAAGAAAATTAAATTTCCTTCTAGTCGATGCAACCACCGCGTTTTTTAATTACTTCTTGGACTAACTTCGGCATCAATTTTATCGGTTTATCTATTATCTCTGGTCCTATTTGGTTTAGCACACGTTTTCACTGAACAAAATACAATAAATGGGTGAACTAACTGCATAAGTGATAAACATTTCTAATTTAACGCTTAGCCTTAACAATACGATGCCACAAAACTTAATACTAAACACAACAAATCACCGAAACTGAATGAAAAATTACAATTTATACCGAATCAGCAGACGTCCAAATACTTTTCGAGGGGTGTATACACGTACCCCTTTCGCTTCTGTGCCTTCAATGAGCACGAAACTTGCGGTACTCGTAAAACTTTCGAACCCATTCGAATCCAAATAAGTGTTCTCCCCGTTCCCAATGAACATAAAATATGCAATGCTCGTAAAACCGTCGAACCCGTTCGAACAATAAGCACTCTCCCCCCTCTGTATTTCCGCCTCTGTATCTTTAGTAAGCATAAAACTTCGGGTGCCCGTAAAAGTTTCGATTCCATTCGAGTACAACAAGTACATCTCCGAGTGCGCCGGGCATGAAACTCGAGGTACCCGCGGAAGTTTCAAGCCTGTTCGTTCGAACAGCAAGCACCATTTTCTGACGTTCCCGGCCTCGATCGGCGCCAAACCCGCGATACAAAAGTTACGAAACAGAAAATGCCTCTCCGCCGCGCCGCGACACCGACGAGCGCGAAGCACGTGCTTTCAAGAGAAGAAGCTCGAAGTTCGATGCTTCCAAGAGAAGCAGCGCGAAGTTCGTGCTTCCAAGAGAAACAGAGCGAAGCTCGGTGCTTCCAAGAGAAGCAGAGCAAAGCTCGTGCTTCCAAGAGAAGCAGAGCGAAGCTCGATGCTTCCAAGAGAAGCAGCTCGAAGTTCGATGCTTCCAAGAGAAGCAGCGCGGAGTTCATGCTTCCAAGAGAAACAGAGCGAAGCTCGGTGCTTCCAAGAAAAGTAGAGCAAAGCTCGTGCTTCCAAGAGAAGCAGAGCAAAGCTCGGTGCTTCCAAGAGAAGCAGCTCGAAGTTCGATGCTTCCAAGAGAAGCAGCGCGGAGTTCATGCTTCCAAGAGAAACAGAGCGAAGCTCGGTGCTTCCAAGAAAAGTAGAGCAAAGCTCGTGCTTCCAAGAGAAGCAGAGCAAAGCTCGGTGCTTCCAAGAGAAGCAGCTCGAAGTTCGATGCTTCCAAGAGAAGCAGCGCGGAGTTCATGCTTCCAAGAGAAACAGAGCGAAGCTCGGTGCTTCCAAGAAAAGTAGAGCAAAGCTCGTGCTTCCAAGAGAAGCAGAGCAAAGCTCGGTGCTTTCAAGAGAAGCAGCGCGAAGCTCGGTGCTTTCAAGAGAAGCAGAGCGAAGCACGTGCTTCCAAGAGAAGCAGTTCGAAGCTCGGTGCTTCCAAGAGGAGCAACTCGAAGTTCGGTGCTTCCAAGAGAAGCAGCGCGATGCTCGTGCTTCCAAGAGAAGCAGCTCGAAGCTCGGTGCTTCCAAGAAAAGTAGCGCGAAGCTCGGTACTTTCAGGAGAAGAAAAACGAAGCTCGGTGCTTCCAAGAGAAGCAGAGCGAAGCTCGCACTTCCAAGAGAAGCAGCGCGAAGCTCGGTGCTTCCAAGAGAAGCAGAGCAAAGCTCGTGCTTCTAAGAGAAGCAAAACGAAGCTCAGTGCTTCCAGGAGAAGCAGAGCGAAGCCTGTTCGAACAACCGAGCACTTCTCATCCACTTCCGAAGGTACCCTTACAAATCGAACGCGCATTCGGACCCGTGAACAGCTCCCTGGCCGATGGAGAGAACGTTTTCGTCGATTGCGTCGATTCCGACGACGTCCGCCCTCGCGATCTTATTCTTCTCTAGCTAAGTTACTCGTTAAGCTATTTTTCTTTCTTTTCTGGTTTTGATTCTCTACGGCGTTTACTCTCGTAAAGGAAAAAATTGAATTAGGTAGGCGACGCGAGAGAATCGGAGGAGAAGGATCCTCGCCGCCGCGGAAACGGAAACGCTAAGAACTTCGAAGCAATTATATCCGACTCTCGGCAACTAAACAAGCAGCTCCGAGGATCGTGCGCCGTGCTTTTGTTGTATCGGCGACTCGATTGTTCGCCGATCGTTGCGCGGACGAAACGTACGCTTTGCTGGCTCTCTCTCTCTCTCTCTCTCTCTCTCTCTCTTCGTTACATTTTCACGCGCTGCGCAGCATCGTAACGAGATCGTCCGCGTGCCGGAGAAAAGAATAAAAGATATGTGTTGTGTCCGCCTGTCGTCGCTCGGCCGGCCGGTCACGAAACGCCTGTGACTCGGCTAATAGTGCGGGTGCGGTACCGTCGAATGCGGCCGTTGCAACAAGCTACCCGGTACAATCAGGAACGTTCGACGAGTGCAACAGATACGTGGAATACTCGTGGAAGCTGCGGAACGAAAGAGTTTCGTCGCTGAACGTAAGGTCGAAACGAGAGCGTCGCTGGCTCGGGACCGGAAGAAAATGGCCGTTAAGTGGTAATCGTTAACGTACAAGGAACCGTCGCATGGTAATTAGAGAATTAATCCTGCCCCGGATGCTCGGGCGCATCCGGAACACTTGTCCGACAGCCGTTCGCGAGCGCTCCTCCTCGAGAACCGTGCCGAATGATTTGTTAACCAGGAATGCTTGACATTTTTCGTCGCCGCCTCGTTTCCAGCGGGAATCGTTCGGAGATATTCTTTTTATTACTTCACGATTGGTATTGGTCGAGTGGTTCGTTTTAACGATTTATTTTAGCTTTATTATTCGCGTACTTAATTAATGTTATTGGCGATTGTTCGATGCAATGGCGATGATTCTTGCACGAAGCAGGCGACATCGTTTCGTTGATGGAATTATTGTATGTACGGTGGATTCTCTGCAACTGTCGAACAAAATGTGAGCAAAAATCGGACGATCGTATTTCTTCTTCTCGGTTTGTCTAGTTTTGTTTACGAGCTGAGGGACAATTGGAGAGAATTTAATGTATTTCTGAAATACGTAATCTGTGCTCTTCTGATAGTTTGTTTAAAATGTAGGATCGACAGTTAAGAATTATCTTTTAAATAATGCTTGGAAAACTACAATAATCTCGTATGTTGTTTAGATTAATCTAATGTAACAAGTTCTTTTGAAATAAACATTGAGAAGATGATTATCGAGCTTCTCTTGGAGACTGTTCGGTCAATGAGATGATGCTTAATAAATAATATATAATGATAATAATATAATAAATAATATATATATAATAATAACAATATAATAAATAATATGTATAATAATAATAATAATATAATAAATAATATGTATAATAATAATAATATAATAAATAATATATAATAATAATAATTATATATATCCGCTGAATAAGGTATTATGTTCCCTTGTCACAAATGTTTAAGCAACCGAGTAAAAATATAGACAGGCAATACACACGAACCTCGTTCTTCAAAACAAAAAAAAGGTGATTAAAAAAATGAAGAAATAGATTTAAAAAATGACGTATAAGATCGCTCGGATTTAACGAAATCTAATATTTAATTTTCATCGCAAGGAGTCTCGTGGTGGACGAAAGAAATGTTCGCGAGATCACGTACGGATGAAGTCGCGTGAGAATCGCAGCAGCCTATTTCGAGAAGGAATTCGCGCGAGATGATGGTGTAAATCGGAAGGCGCGCGGGTAAAACGTCGAATCGGTGAACGGGGGGGAACAATGAATTTCGGGAGGCGATTCGAACGATCCCGATCGATCGGTCCGACAGTTAATTATTCGTTTAGCTGGTCGCGCGACCGAATGAATTCTTCGCCGTTGATCTACTTCCGCAGCTACGGAAATTTTTCAGCGCGGAATTTTCTAATATCCTGGAGAGAGGCGCGGGAGCGAGGGTGAGGAAGGGAGGGAGGGAGGGAGGGCGTGGAGGACGGAAACGAAAACCTGGACGATAACTTAGAACGTCGCCGCGCAACAGAGAAACGAGCCCGAAGCGGAATTAATTCCGTGTCCCTGGCATTCTTTACCGTCGAAAGTAATGCCGAAAATCAATCTCCGTGCATCGCGGGAAACGTAGGAACCTTCGGCTCCCCCCGGCTCCACGGTGATATATATTTTTCGACCGGCTGGCGATCAATCGGCGCCGTGTTTGCTTTCGCGAAATATAATTTCGATTTGTTCTCGGGTTTGATTAAAGGCGGCCGCCTCCTTCGTAATCACGAAGGACACGCTGCTTTCCGATTCGCGATTCGCCGGTAAACGCAGCCTCCGTTTCACCGTCTTTCGTTTTCATCGAGCAACGCGATAATTGATAACGAACGGCAGGCGAAGTCGCGTTCCGATATGGGAAATTTGGAAAATCAGATCTTGATTAACCTTTTAGGCACGACGCGCCACTATAGTGGCTTCCGCGGATGTCATCTTTCAGAACGACGCGCCACTATAGTGGCTTTCGCGGATGTCATCTCTCTGGACGACGCGCCACTATAGTGGCTTGCTCTAGTAGCTCACTCGCTCATCGTATGAACCAAATAATCGTCTTCATCTGCATTGTTTCACACTACTTTTGTCTTCACATCGATTTACAACAGTCTACAGGGTGTCCCAAAAATGTCTCGCAATTTGTAAATGGCGGGTTCCTCGGATCATTTGAAGCAACTTCTTCCTTTACAAAAATGTTCTCCGAGGCACCGTTAACGAGTTATTAACGAAAAACAGTGACCAATAAGAATCGAGTACGGCTGACGCGAGGCGGCCCAGCCAACCAGCGCACGAAGCCCAGTTCCGCTCATTGGCTCGATTGCCTCGCGCCAACTGAGCTCGCCTCTCACTGGTCACTGTTTTTCTTTAATAACTCGTTAACGGTGCCTCGGAGAAAATTTTTGTAAAGGAAAAAGTTGCTTCAAATGGCCTGAGGAACCCGCCACTTTCGGATTACGAGACATTTTTGGGACACCCTGTATATACAGTATCAGACTACCTGTATATACAGAATTCAGCCGTACCTAAAAGGTTATGATCGTTTGATTGCTGAGGAGCGCTATCGCGCTCTTCTTATGTTGTGCCAAAAATGCGAAGATCGCGATGGCGCTCCTATTTTTTTTTTAATGCCAAGATTGCGGAGAGCGTAATAACGCTGCTCTAATTCACTAGAATTTGTGCGTCCAGCGAAGCGCGTTGCGTTTGCGGAGCATATGATTTTTGATTGTTGTAATAATATTACATATTTCAAATCAACTTTCTTTTTTTCTGTTAAATAACGGTGAAAACAATGCCTAATATTTGGAGTGAAACTGACTCGGAATCGTGGACTGATGATGAAGCGTAAATTTGTGACAACGAAAGTGATAGCGGAAGTGATATTATTATTCCTAAAAAGAGATTACTGGCTATCAGCGAGAGCAGCGATGATGAACTAGTGTTTATTGTATGAAAAGTGTTTTCCATTTTTTCCCAAACCCGCACAATTAGTGCCGCAGTTTTGGCATGTGTCCGAAAAAATACGTCAGCAGCCAAACGGTTAAGGAAGACGAGAAAAATTAGATGTTCGACTCGCGACGCTTCTTCGTCTCGTGGCATATGGACGAGTTGTCTGCGATCGCTTTTTATACGATGTGAAAAAGTGCAGCGAGAAATAAGAGTGAAATTCCGCAAGATAGTCGTATTTTATTAGGTGGCGGAAATTGTTGAATTAACGAAAGTCGCGGCTGAATGATAATTGTGACGGTCAATTTTTCCACGTGATAAATTCGCTCGAACGTTTCTCTACAATTTGGAGGTATGAAAAGATTTTATAGTGAACATGGATATTGTCAATCGAAATTGTCAGTTGATATCGTCAATTGATATTGTCAATTGCCGGTGCATTTAACTCGACAAAGTGTTGTCGGTAATGAAAAATCGACGGAACCAATATCCGGCTGTAATTGTTCATTATTAAAAAGCTGGCGAAATCATTTGTTTCGTTTGTTTCGTTTATTTCATTTATTCGGGGAAAAAATATGAAACGCTCGCTGCGATTGGACACCGTTATAAAACGATTTATATCGAAAAGATTGCTTCTCGCTCGATCGTCGCGCTCGTCCGTCCGATTTTCTAATAATCTCAATATTGTACGAATCGCGATCCCGCTTGCAATATTACGCGGATATCATTTTCTTTCGCTACACGCGCGAATTCCGCGTGCTCGCCTAAATTGCAACGGATAATCGAATCGCAGGATTATTGCATTGGGAAATAGGTTAATGACGCGAATGATTGTCTTCGTCAGTGATTAACGCCGGCCGACTACGTAACAAATAATCGCGATATTCGGCAACGGGCCGCGATAAATCATCGAGCGATCGAATCGCGCGCGATAAATATTTTAATTTGCGCGTGACGCGGCTTCGCTTTAAAAAAAATACCGAAAAGCACCGGGCGTCGTTTACGAGCGCCAAGGTATCCGGTTGAGCGATGAGGTTGCATAACTCTCTACTCAACTGCAACCGGTCTGCATCATTAACGACGATAATTACTCCAATTATGTACGAATTAATATGGTCGTGAATCTGATAAATGATGTTGCGCCCATGAATCACCGACTATCGCGCAATTTTCGATGTAAAATCTACCGGGTGTACCGCGATCAATATCCTTCGATACAGCCGTGCCAAGCGCGCGTTTCTTCTGTGTAACAATTTCTCGAATCTTCTTCCGCGCATTCCGCGACGCAGAACTCGTATAGACGCATCACTCTCGCGTGTCTAATCAATTTTTCTCTCGTTTAATACTTCGACGGACGCATCGATTGATACAGCAATTCGAATTTAAATGTAAACGTTGCACGGAGTGCAGAAACGAAATTGTTCGTATCGCGCGGACGTTGCGTTCTGCTTTGATAAACTGCGCATAAAGGAATCTATATTATCCGAAACAATTTTGATTGTCCGGACACCTACGTGACGCGTAATTGACCCAATTTAAAATTATACACACGTGTATTGTACTATTTATCGTGGTAATCAGTTACGACGTGATTAAGCACCGCGTTCCAATAAATACAGTAATTTCTCCCGGAAATGTCAAATTTCGGGTTGCTGTGAATTTCCCTGTGCTAGTTCTACGCCTATGTAATTTGTTGCTGCGTCGATGCTAAGGGTCGACGGAGTTCCCGGAAGACAACACAAAATGGTCATGTTGTTTTCTGGGAACTCCGTCGAGTTAACGTAAACGTTTATCATAGATCTTCGGCCTAAGAGGAAGCAATTTACAAATCGATCTTATAGTGTGAACTCTGATATTGTCCATTCACATTTATCGCCATATATTACTGTAATAATATTAATGTAATAATAATAATAATATAAAAATAAAAAGGTAAATGAAAAAAGTAAAAGAATAAAAAGTAAAAAGTAAAAAAAAAGGTAAATAAAATAATAATAATAATATAATACTAAATTCTTCCCAATTTTCCTTCAGCTTGTAAAGAAAAATGGACAATCAGGGAAGAGGAGATACGATTGTTCGAGCCTTGCGACTCGTTTTTATAGTTACTGATTGTCAACAATTATAAAAACGAAACGCAAGGCTCGAATAATCGTATCTTCTTTTCCCAAATTGTCCATTTTTGTGCGCAATCTGAGTGCGAATTAGGGAAAAATTACTCTACTAAGTACGTGACCGTCAAATCGTGGCATGTGGCCTCCGAATTGCCTTCGAATCGAATCATTTTACCTCTGAATTGCCTTCGAATCGAATCATTTGGCCTTCAAATTGCCTTCGAATCGAATCATTTGGCCTCCGAATTGCCTTCGAATCGTCACAAAAAATTAAAAATTAGAAATCATAACAAAAAGAAATTAGAAAAATAGTATTCATATTAGCGTACACCGGAATGCTGGCCGCTGCCATTTTTCTGCCGACTGTCCCGAGCTTCTATAAAAACGAGCCGTCAGATCATTTTAGAATTAGAATCACGACTTAGTATTCTCAGATCTACCGCTTTCAATTCCGACCTCCGAACATTTCTGGAAGAAATTACTGTACTCCATTATCCTAACATTCGTGCTCTCCTCAATCAATTCTGTTAACTAAACTTTTCTAGACTGCGCTTTTTACGCATTTATAAAAAAAATAAGCA